ATAGTGACCCTGTACAGGGTTTCTGAGGCTGTAAATCTTTATGGGAGCTGAACTGCTGATGTTGCAATTCGCAGGCTGATTTGTAACTACTATGCTACCAGAGCTCTTTACACTATAATAGTAGATATTAAATTTTCATTTATTGAGGGAAATAACTTGTTTTTTGTAAGTCAATAATTCAATTTCTCCAGTGGACAAAACCTAGTAGGGGATCCTATATAACTTGTAGCATAAAAATGTTTAATACAAAGCTGTCTTTCACTAACTTGATCAACTTTTAAGTGACTTAAGAACCACAAAAAATGCAAGGTTTTTTTCCCATTATGTGTGGGACACAGAACTCTTTTCACACATAGTAATGTACTCTTAGTGTCTGCAGAAATAGGAACGGTTTCCTCATACAGTGATCTCAATAACTTATTAAAAAGTACTAAATTAAGATACTTAAGATTTCTGGTGTCTCAAAAGTATGTAGAAAACCATAAAATTAAAAATGTCTAAAACATAATTTAGGCAACATAAGAACATTAAACTTAGTTTTTTTCCCTCCATTTTCAGAAGTAGGCTTTCTTTCTTTCTTTTTTTTTTTTTTTAACCATCTAGCTGCTAAAGAGTATCCATCTTTAAATGTGACAAATTTCTTTAATATAGCTTTGGTTAAAATTAAGTAATTTTTACATTCCTGTAGCAGTGAGAGTTTGTGTGGGACTCTTGTTTTATTGGTTCAAACCTACCAGCCGCTCCTCAGAAACCCAAAATGGGTTGCTATGAGTCAGAACCAGCTCCACGTCACTTAACTTGTTTTATAGCCAAAGATTTGAATATCAAAATTTCAGCTTCTAGTTGTATGTTTAATCTTATCTGTAGTGCTAATTACTTACTTTGTAGAAAAGACTCATCATTTGACTGTCAGATTTTATTTCATTTGGTCCGGAATAGGGCTCAGGCTTTGACAGTTACAAATATATATGCAGGTTATTCTCATGAGCAGCCAGGGTCTGAGACCAATAATTGGATACCACAGCCATTCAGTTTACTTCCTCGACAGCACTTAACAATATCATGCTGTATACTTCAACCTAGACCAGGGGTTAGCAGGCATGCTCTGTAAAGGACTAGTAAATTATTTTAGATTTTGTGGACCATAGGACCCCCTGTTCTAAAGATGGGAGGGAGACTATACGGGTAAGGATTGCTTCATTGTGATCAAGACTAGGAGCCTACTAATAAATGGCATCTTTGGGGTACTTTCCTCTTCTGAGCAATAATAAAGGGTCTGGCTGCTTAAAGACTCATTTAAAAACCTAGTTTATATTTCAATTGCCAGTTTAAAAAAGGCAGCATTAAAAAAAAATTCCATCTTAAATTGAAGAGACATCTACAGTTTTATATAAGGGATAGGAAAAATTGTATGGCACTTAAGATTTTGGTTTATTGAAAATTAAGTTTGTTCTTGATTTTAGGAAGGGTCTTAACACTGAGTAAATTTTAGTCTTTTCCAAATTATTATCTTTATTTCTGATCTCCCCATGTCACTTTAACTTGAATTTATTGACTATGGAGATAGTCAACTAAATACTCTGCTTGGAGACTGTAAGTGGTGGTATGACATTGGACCATCTCTGACACTGTGTAACCTACTCCAGTTTTGTTGATGGATTATGTCAAAATTTTTTCTTTCATGAGTAAATTTTGAACCCAAGTTCAAGGTGAGTTCAGAATATACTCAAATTCATTCAATCCTTTTATTTTTAAATGCAGGGTTGTACATATTTTAATAATTTTCTTATGTATCTGGTGTTTAATGCTGACAGGATTCCAGTCAATGGAGAGGTTTCATTGCAAGTAGCTGCAGGTGTGTTTCATGGTAGAGATAAAAGTTTTCAGTGAAGCTGACTTAAAAAAAAATTACATCATAATAGTAAATGAATTTGGATGTTGATTTTGTGGGGGCAATATGGTATGTTTTTTTGTATGTGTTATGCTGTTACTATTGCGTCAACATTTGCTGAGTTACACAGATACCAAATCTGATTTTGAAAATGGATGCTGAGAGTTAATTCTTAAGTGACTTAATCTTGGAGTAAGAATAAACTTTAAAACACTTCATATGTATGATAGTATGATAAGATGTATTTGTTTCATTTGAAAATTATTCATTCTCTGCAATGTATTTTTATTTGGGACTTAATATTAAGTAGGTCTTCCCTCCAACCAGGTTAAGGACTACTTTAACTTTTAAATACCGTGGAATCAGTTCAGACTCATGGTGACCCTGCTCAGGGTTGCCGAGGCTGTAAATTTTTATGGGAGCAGAATGCCTCATCTTTCACCTGTGGAAGAGCTGGTAGTTTCAAACTGTTGATCTTGAGGTTAGCAGCTCAATTCGTAACCACTGTGCTACCAGAGCTCCTTTTAGTTTACCTGTTATTGTTGTTGTTGTCAAGTGCCATCGAGTTGATTCTGACCCATAGCAACCCTTTGAACCACCAACCTTGCAGTTCAAACGGCTTTGCTGTCTGGGGCATTAACCCACAGTGCCACACCAGGACTCCCTAGAGAATGCTAAAAAGATCTTTTGAGCATTATTCTGTACTAGGAATTATGCTAGGACAGGATTTTTGCTTTTACAGATTATATAGTCTCGAAGCAGTTGTAATGAAGAAATGTCTAGTCATTTCAGTGTGAGAATAGTAAGTAGGTTTAAAAAATTGCCTCTTGGTCTTGAAATAATAAATGATTAAATCTACCACTGGTTAAATATTTGTGGAAAAGTTTGTTAAACTTAATCAGTTTTGGTCCGTAACAGTAAGACACATTCTCTGGAAAACTTGCAGCTAAAGGATAAAGACATATGTTATTTATTTGCCTTTACAGCAAACTATAGTCAGCAGACTGGGCCCCAGCAACCTCAGCAATACCAGGGATATGGACAACAACCAACTTCGCAGGCACCAACTCCTGCATTTTCTGGTCAGCCTCAACAAATGCCTGCTCAACCAACACAGCAGTACCAGGCGAGCAGTTATCCTCCACAAACTTACACTACCCAAACATCTCAGCCTGCTAATTATACTGTGGCCCCTGCCTCACAACCTGGAATGGCTCCCAGCCAGCCAGGGGCCTATCAACCAAGACCAGGTTTCACTCCACCTCCTGGCAGTACCATGATCCCTCCTCCAAGTGGGCCTAACCCTTATGCACGTAACCGTCCTCCCTTTGGTCAGGGCTATACCCAACCCGGACCTGGCTATCGATAAAGAGCCTCAGCTGCACTGATGAATGTAGCTCTTTGCCTCCTGAAAGACTCCAATACTATTTTAATTTGTATTGAAGTTCAGAAATTTAAATTTAAAAAGCAGAGCCTTTTTTTATGATATCATTGTTGCTGTTAATTAAAAGTATAATTTGCTGGAACACAAACTACCAAAATGAAAAATTTTTTCCTCCCCTGCTTTAAAATGTAGCAGCTTCCTTAGTCATTTTTATTTTGGAACACTACTCTTAAATCTGTGTAAAGTGATTGACTTTCTAGCTTACCTTGTCCAGAGGATATGATAGGCTTAGCCATCTGACAGCTTTTTATTATTAACATGATGTACTAAAATAGATCCATTTGAGAAGCCAACTAGTTATTATGTATAAAATGTAACATTGATAGGCCAATAAAGATGATTGAATCTATTAGTGGTCTTGTAATTTAATTATTACATGATAAAATCAAGGAACAAATATATTTTTCAGAAATCCTTTTTGGTGATTGGCCTTAAAGTGAAGTATAAACGTTTTCTGTTGAGAGAAAAACAGCATTTTCCCACCTGAGTAGCTTTTATAGGAAGATTGATTAATGTAGGCTGTAGACATATAGACACAAGGGAGTTTGGGTAGGTCCTGAAAAACTTTGATTTTTCTTCTTACCTTCTTATACTGATGAACCAGTCAGATCAAGTATTCAGTCTTAAAAAAAATTCTGTGCATAATTTGATTGCTTGAAAAAAAGTATAGGGTAGTGATAAAAATGAAGCAAATTGAAAACTAAGCACAGGAAAGATCCTTTTATCTCCCTCCCCAGATGAAGGAAGACCACTTTTTAACAAAAAATGAGTTCGATTTTTATTACAGCTTATGTTAAAACAGAATTACAAAAACATACCTTATGCATTCATTCATAGAGATCTTATATATAAATATATACCAAATTGTAAAATGGTAGGGAGCTCATAATGCATTATCATTTTGTTGTCAGACTTCCCACTCAGTCTCTGCATACACCTTGATTAGATCAGATTAAAAACATGAAGAAAATGGCTTAAAGGTACATGGTTTGGCAAAAAAAGTACACTTAAGACATTATAACACATAGCTGGGTAGAGAAGAGAACAAAACGTATCTTGAAACTGAATATATTAGATTCTCGAAATGAAATTTACTGATTGAAAATTATTTCAGTAATTTGCAGACATTTAAAGACATACATATTCATATGGATTTACTTAATTAAGCTCTTCAGAAAAGCAGTTCAGCTGTAACTAAAACTTGAATTTTAAACAAACATGAATATTAGGTCTTTTTCCTCCTAGATATGCTGAAGATTATGTGAGCCAATAAGTTAAACTTAGTAGAGATTTATTGAAGTTACTCACCAGTAGAAAGAATATATGTAATAAAAGTAAATATCTTTCCAAAATGTATATTAAAGTTTTTGATGTTAATTTTGTCATAAAAGTATCTGAAAACATTACAACAGTATGATAAATATACAAACGATCTCTTAAAATACCATGACTAGGGAGCCAGCTTCCCCAACAATGTTAATTCTGTTAATATCTTGTTTTGTTTTAATGATAAATATTCTTAGTCTTTTCTAATAAACATCTATTGCTATTAATTTGTAAACTTTCATACATAGTAAACAAAACAGCTTTAAATGAATGTGATAAATATCATAGCATCTTTTTGTGTGTGTGTGCCATGATAAAATGAAAGGCACTTTGCACCATTTACCATTTCCCAGGAATTGTCGTCCCACATTCGTACCACTGGACATAATTGATTTGGGTGTGACCACCTATTTCTCCAAACTGGACAGGTTCCTGGCGAACTGCTCTGAAGTAGCCTAAGGAAGGGAAATAATTTCATATTAGTATTTTCTACATTATAATTTTTGCCCTTGCTGTTTATAGACTGAAGTGTGTCACTGAATGACAGAAGGTGACTGGATGAAGCAATATATTTAAGAAAGCAGCAACAGAGCCTTTCCCGAAGCAGTAACGACTGGCTAGCATTGAGCATCTGGAGAAGGTTGACATTTATTTACCAAGTTAGAATGGGACAGCTGGTAGTTTCTGAGAGACAAAGAGGGCATCTTGTTACCTTTTTTTTAAAACTGTCTTTGGCCACACAATATAGCTCTCTACATCTTATCTGAAAGGGTTTTTTCTGCACAAAAAAGGCTAGTGGTGTCTATGAAGAACTGACGTGAGTATTGGTGCTTACTAGAATAAGCAATACAAAAGGAAGATAATTCCATGATGGTTAAAACTCATAAGTACTAATTAATCTTAGCAAAATCTTTTTCAGTACACTGTGTGATTAAAAATTTCACTGGGAAATGTTGCAGAAATAAAATACACAATATTTTTTTTATATCCTAGCTCATGAGTCAACTTTTAACTGTTCATTAATGGCTTCACAAATCTTTTAGGTTGATACTTCTAAGGGCAAGTGTGCAAAAAATACAAACTAATCAGAATTCAATGTATCGAATCATTACAAAGAATGGCTTGGTGATTCCTGAGTAATACGTTGTTAAGTGCTGTCCAGTTGTTTCCGACCCATAGTGACCCCCATAGGGTTTCCAAGGAGCGACTGGTAAGCTTGAACCACCGACCTTGTGGTTCAAACGACTTTGCAGTCCAGTGCAGTAACCCACAGTGCTTTATCAGGAGTAATATGAAGGGGTTTAAAATTTGTGGAAAAATTGCGTTATCCATTTTCCATGAATTTTTTGAAGCTACACTGTATGCAGCTTAGTGCTAATGTGTCTCTATTTGTTCTAATTATTTTAACATAAAATTGGGAGTGCGGTGGCTCTATGCGGCAAGCACCAGACTGTGAACTACAAGGTTCATGGTTAGAGGTGAGACTTTCTGCTCCTGGAAAGATTTAAAGCCTCAGAAACTCTATACAGGGTCCCTATGAGTCGGAACCGACTTGACAGTACATAATAACAATATAAAATTATGTATAAGGCAAATAAAAGTTTTTCCCCCTCTATGATAGTAAACCTACTCACTGCCATTGAGTCAATTTTGACTCATAGTGACCCTGCCTAGGGTTTCCAAGACTAAATCTTTTTTGAGAGCAGCCTCATCTTTTTCCCATGGAACTGATACGCCACTTTAAAATAATGCGGGTGATGCTCAGTACAACAAAACATAAAGGTAATACCTTAATGCTGTAAGTTTGAGAAACACTGCTCATTTATAGTTTTGGTAATTCAGCTTGTTTTGAAGTACACTTCATTTTTGCATGTGTCTTGTCTTTACCTTTGGGCCTAACTAAGGACTGGGAGGAAAGTTGAAAAAACATTCAAGTCTTAATGTTTTTTAGTCAGAGAATTGGAGTAGTATGATGAAACTTTTTAAATGGATTGTTTTTCTGACTGGACTAAACTTAATCTGCCAAATATTCTTACAAGAGGATCAGAAAACATACCTTCTTTGGCAGGTAACTGGTCTGAAGTGAGTTGCTGTCCTGTGCGTCCATCTAAAAATGAATCCACAAACTGGCAGTGATCTTCTCCGTGACCTCTAAGGTCACCTATGTTATAAAATTTTCCTGAAAATTCAGAAATAGGGTAACAGTGTTACTTACTTTGATATGTGACAATTCTGAAATAAATCATTTCAAATAATCTGTGTTTCCTGCCCTTACACCCTTACCACTTGTCTTGAATGTTCTAATTCAAGTCACCAGTGTCCCTTGCCTGAATTAATAGTTTCCAAACTGCTCCCCTAGCTTTAACTCTCGTCTCCCTTCCCTCTTCCAGAGCTTTAGAATGCCAGTCAGATAATGATGTTCCCCTCCATAAATCTCACCAGCAGTTTCCCATTTAATCACAGTTCAAAGTCCATAACCATGTTATTAAAACCTCACAAGATTTCACACCTGTCTTGAGTGCCAATCCCAGCATTTTCATGCTCTTTACTAAAACTCCCTTAAGCTTCAGCCACTCCTGGAGGAAGAGGTGTGTTCTGCTTCAGCTTTTGATTTTTCTCTTCCCTCTTTCTAACGGATTATCCCTAGATCTTTACAAAGTTGGTTTCTTCTAATAATTTTCTTCTTAGCACAAGTTTTGCCCTTCCAGAGGGATCTTCCCTTACCCATTCTTAGCTAAAGGAAATGCCAATCCCTGCTCAGCCATTTCTCTCTCACCCTTTAAAAAAGTTTTTTCTCAAAGCACTTATGAGGACATTTTATTTATTTACATACTTGTCTGTCCCCACTAGATTGTAAGCTGTATGAAAGCAGGAATGTGTCTTTTTGTTGCTTTGTCTCTAGCAACCAGAACAGTGTCTGCCACAAAATAGGGCCTCAATAAATATATGTTGGATGACTGAACAAAACAAATGTCTACCTTCCTATGTTGGGCCCAGCCTTGTTTACCTACTAACACCTTTTACTGATAAATCACAGACGAGAAAAAGTACAATTCTTGGGGATCTGGAGCAAAGGTTTAGTTTTCTGGTCCAGTGTATATAATAATCATTATCTTGTCTCTGACAGATCTAAAAATTTGAAGTTGTCATATTCCATCCATGAGTATTGTTAAGAAACATTTTATTATCAACAAGCTTTCTATCCTTGAATGGCTATAACAAAATTGAGCTTGAATGTGCTAGTACCTGTTCATTCTATTTTCCCATGGTGATACTTTCCTTATTAAACTTCAAATGTTACATGCTGTCAGGTCACTTCTGACACATTGCAACTCTGTATAGGGTCTCTGAGGAGCAGCTGGTGGGTTTGAACCACCAACCTTGTGGTTAGCAGCTCAGTGCTTATCCTACAGTACTACATGAGGACTCGTATGTTGTTTGTTGTTAAGTGCCATCGAGTCGGTTCCAACCCATAGCGACCCTATATAGGGTTTCCAAGGAGCCACTGGTGAGCTTGAATCTCCGATCTTGCAGTTCCAGTGGCTTTGCAGTCTGGGGCATTAACCCACAGCACCACACCAGGACGCCACATGAGGACTCGTATAGCATGTCTCAATCCTTATTTTCTAAACTGGTAAGTATTCCAATAACGTAATCAAGAGGAAACTTTATATTTACAATCAGACCTTGATGCCTGGAGTTCTCCCTAGGAAAAGCCAACTTAGAGTACTACAAAACATTCCCAAAATAGTCTTGGCAGCTCTGCTTACCTGTGAGGGAGTCACTCAGATAAATCTTGTACCTGAGAGAGTTGCATAGCTGCACCCCTACAAACTTCTTATACCACGTTCTTTTGACATACTGCTTGCCCTTACATTCTGAATATGAATCTGAATTGAAGGGTCTTTCAGTCCAGATGGCATCTCTTCCTGCTGCATAAAGAAAACATGGCTTGAGTTGAGTATCTGACTTGGATACTGAAGAGCTTCCCCTGAAAGTTTTTAAATAAAAATGCAATTTGCAGAGTTCCTGTCAATTTATGGGTTCCTGATTTTTTTCTATTGCTAAATATTGGATGCAAAAAATTAAGTTTTAATTAAGTATAACCCCAATTATATATTTGTCAACAGTGAGATCTTAAGAGCCATTATGTAGTTGTGTAATAGTCTTTGCAGTGCAACATATAAACAACACTTTTTAAAGCAAATTAATTTTTTTAAAGCATAGTCTAAAAGCTAAATAGTTGCTTTAAGGTGACTTGTTCTATAAAGTGTGAATGAAAATTACCTATTGCTTTAATTATTAAACAATATTTGAGCTGCCCTGGTACCTTCATGAAGGTAGATGCCCAAAAATCCAACTTGTACCCAAAACATGTTTCAGGTTGTGGTGTAGTAAACAACTGTGCCTTGAACATTTTGGACCCTAATAAACTCCATAACTGAATATGATGTCATTTAGAGTTTTATGTGACCTTGTAGTGAACTACTACTGAACCCAGCTGAATTGAGTTGTGGGAGGACAGGTTGCTACCACATTTTTTGCACAGGTAAATATTCACACCTGATTGATATTTTTAAGATGATGAACAGGAAAATCCTGACTATAAAGTTCTCCTATTCCTGTTTTGTTAGTTTAGAAAAATAATGTAGTTGTGTTCCCATCTTACAAGGTACTTACCAGAAATTGGCTCGCTCACTTTAGGGTCCGCTGAGGAGAAATTGGAAACAGTGGAATGTTATTAGGTGGTAACGTCAAGTATTCCAATACCACAGGTGAAGAGCATAAGTACTTACAGATGCTAAGAAATACTCATTGAAAAATGACATTGTGTGTGACTGAAGACGAAAATATAGAATGCTTTGTTTTGTTTTGTATTATCATTCTCTTATCAAACACTTTCCAGTTCACCAAGGACTCAGCTGTTTCTGGGGCATGTGATTTGAGTAGTCACAAGTCTGTCACTGTTTCAGCCTTCACTTCAGTTTCAAAACCCTTCTCTTTTAGTTTCAACAGAAATAACTGATAAACTCACCATGATTGGTGTAAGAATTATGCAAATAATGCTTTGTGTACAGATGCATCTCATTAAGGAATTGGTACTTGGAAGGTCAAATTACAAAAACAACAACTATCAAATGAGTTTCCTTTGGGGATGTGCTTAGGTTCAGTTTGCCTAATATTTTGTAGGCATACTGAGAAAGTACCCATTCGATAATCTGAGTATAGATAAGGCTTTTTTCCCCCCTTTTAAACTGATAAGTTTTTTTCCTGATATCTACATAAATGAGGAAAGTCCTAAGTGGTGCTTCCTTAAGAGTACCTTCAGTTTGCCTTTTCCGTGGATAGTTGTAGAAGTTAAGAACTAAGTACACACATTGTTTAGCTGGGTTTCCAATAAGTTCCCTATATAAAAAATTGCCCACTGACCCATTACAAATTTGTTGGGAATTACTGTTGATGTTAAGTACCGTGGAGTCGGTTCCGACTCATCGTGAACCCTGCACAGGGTTTCCGAGGCTGTAAATCTGTACGGGAGTAGAAAGCCTCATCTTTCTCCCGCAGAACAGCTGGGAGTAGATGTAGCATTATTAAAAAAAAAAAAAAAAACAGGAAAGAAAGAAAAGGCCAAAATGAAAGTAAGAGATTCTGAAACTTACTCTCCAGCATAGAGATGCTTAAATGAATGGAAGAAATGAGGATGGAAAAGAGCTGAATAGAAAATTACAAAGGACAGCTTGAGAAGACAAGTATTATAATGAAAATTTTAAACTCCTGGAGTTAGAAAGCAAAACGGGAAGAACACACTCAGTATTTCTCAAGCTGAACTGAAGAAAAAATTCATGCCTCAACTTGAAATATTGAAGAATTCTAAGGAGTTCTGGTAGTGTAGTGGTTACGAATTGGGCTGCTAATCTCACGATCAGCAGTTCGAAACTACCAGTGGTTCCGTGGGAGAAAGATGAAGCTTTCTGCTCCCATAAAGATGTACTGCCTCGGAAAACCTGTGCAGGGTCGCCATAAGATGGAACCGACTCCACAGCACACAGCAACAACAATGAGCTCTGGTAGAGTCCTGGTGTGGCACTGTGGGCTAATGTGCCAGACTGCAAAGTCTTGAACTTCAAGGTCGGTGGTTCAAGCTCACCAGCTGCTCCTTGGAAACCCTATACAGGGTCGCTATGGGTCGGAATTGACTTGATGGCACTTAACAACAACAACAACGGAGCTCTGGTAGCATAGTAGTTATGAGTTGGGCTGCTGACCTCAAGGTCAGCAGTTTGAAACTACCAGCTGTTCTGTGGGAGAAAGATAAGGCTTTGTGCTCCCATAAAGATTTACAGCCTCAGAAACCCTGTACACGGTTGCTATGGGTTGGAACCAACTCCACTCTTCACCATCAAAATATTAAATGATACAGAAAGCATTGGCAGGAATACAGAATCACTATACCAAAAAGAAATGGTCAATGTTCAACCATTTCAAGAAGAAGCATTTGACAAGAACTGATGATACTGAAAGATATTAAAGCTGCACTGAAGTCACTGGTGAAAAACAGGCTCCAAGAATTAACAGAATACAAATGGAAAATTCTGATCCAACTGAGGAAGCATTAGGAACACTAACTCATCTATGCCAAGAAATTTGAACCAACTGATTAGAAGAGATCCATATTTGTGCCTATTCCAAAGAGAGGTGACCCAATGGAATGCTGAAAACATCAAACAATATAAAATTCACATAAAATTTTGCTGAAGATAATTAAAAAACAATTGCAAAAGGACATCGATAGGGAACTTCCAGAAACTCAAGCCAGATTCAGATGAAATGGAATGAGGGATACCACTGCTGACATTAGATGGATCTTGACTGAACACAGATAATGCTAAAAAGATCTTTACTTGTGCTTTTATGAGTATGCAAAGGCTTTTGACTGTATGGATCATAACAAGCTATGGATTACATTGTAAAAAATGGATATCCCAGAACACTTAATTGTGCTCATGAGGAACTTCTACATAAAACAAGAGGCAGTCATTTGAACAGAACAAGGGGAAAGGTTTAAAATCAGGGAAGGCATGGACCAAGGTTGTATTCTACCGTACTTATTCATTCTGTATACTGAGCAGATAACCCAAGAAACTGAATTATATGAAGAAGAACGTGACATTAGGATTAGAGGAAGACTCATTAAAAACCTGCAATATGCTTTGTTTGCTTAAAAAAAAAAAAAAAAAACCTTGTTGCTCAAAATGAGGATTTAAAATACTACTGAAGATCAAAGACCACAATGTTCAGTGTGGGTTGCACCTCAATGTAAAGAAAGCAAACATCATTATATAACATCACGCTAAATGGAGAAAAGACTGAAGTTGTCAAAGATTCACTTTGTTTGAATCCACTATCAACACTCAGTGAAGAGCAGTCAAGAAATTAAATAATGTATTTTGCTCTAGGCAGATCACTAGACAAATCTGCACAAGACCACTTTAAAGTGTTGAAGAGCAAAGATGTAAGTTTGAGGACTAAGGTAGTCAGTCAGGTATTACTGACTTGGGCCATGTTATTTTCAATAGCTTCATATGCTTGTGAAAGTTGAACAATAAGTAAGGAAGACCATAGAAAATTTGAAGCATTTGAGTTAATAGTATTGGAAAATAATATTAAAAGTACCATGGACTGCCAGAAGAACAACAAATCTTTGTTGGAAGAAGTATAAAAGCCAGGAAGATGGCCAGACTTTGTCTCTCATACTTTGAACTTGTTATCAGGACAGACCATACCCTAGATAAGGACATCCTGCTTGATAAAGTAGAGAGTCAGCAAAAAGTAGACCTCCAACGTGATGGATTGACACAGTGGCAGCAGCAATGGTCTCAAGGGTAACAATTGTGAGGCTGGCACAGGACCAGGCAGTGTTTTATTCTGTTGTGTAAAGGGTCTTTTATGAGTCAGACAGGACAACACCTAACAACAACAACTTTTGATGTGCTTACCTGATTCGGTACTGAATGATACAGTGTTGCTGGTTGGACCTTCACCAAGTGGATTTTTGGGTTTCACTTCAAATTGATAGCTGTTTGGGGAGAAAATAAAAACAATTATAACATATTCTTGAGAGCTAGCAAGTATATACTGACATCCCTCCTGACTATTTTTCAATCATAGTGTCAATAAATGATAACATGTTCTAGAAGCAGCTTTAGGAAACAAAACATGTTTTCTTAATTTTCTTTTCAAACCAGCTTGTCTAATGTGTTATATAAGAAATGGCTTAAATTTGAAAAGATAGCTGTCTTTTAAAAACTCCAAGTTAGCAGAAATAATTAGGCAGTTTGGTAATAGACATATAGACAAAAGGCATGGGGAGGAAGGAGCAAAGAAATGGACAGATTCCTGTTTTATTCCCTATGATACTAACCTTGGGCACAACTGTGGATTTAGGTAATGCTTCTCATTCGCTGGGTTACATGGGGCAGGGCTACTTAGGTTAGAATCATGTGATGGATGTGGTGGGAATGTTTGTTTAAAATGTAGATTTCTTGCCCCACTCTAGCTGTTGAATCCATTTGAGAGGTCTATGTAGGAATCCAACAAGTTCCCTAGGACCCGCTGATATTTGAGAACTAAGCTATAGGAGCCCTGGAGTCTTGGAATGGCTTTGTAGAATAATCACTGCACTACTAACCATAAGGTCAGTGATTCAAACCCACCAGCTGCTCCTCAGAAACCCTATACAGGGTCACTATGAGTTAGAATCGACTTGATGGCACTTAACATCAATAGGAACCCTGGTATAGTAGTGGGTTAAGAGTTTGGCTGTGAACCGCCAGGTCAGCAGTTAGAATCTACATGTTGCTCTGCAGGGAGAATGGTGAGGCTTTCTGTTTCTATAAAAATGTATAGCCTCGGAAGCCCTGTACAGGGTTGCTATGAGTCGGAACCAACTCCACGACACACAACCACTACCACCAAACCAAACAATGGGTACACATGAAGATATTTCTTTGAAGGACTTCCTAACTGTATCTTTAGGAAGTAGAGTTTTACATAGCTCACAGGAAGCCATGATGTCTTCAGAACATGGTGGGACAGAGAATGTTACATCTTGAAGAAAATGGGCATAAGATTGAAGTTCTTTCTATAAATTAAATTTCATGTAGGCCAGACTCTTAACCCTTTATTTTTGTTTTGTTTTTTAAAGCAAGCTCAGATTCCTTAGTCATGAATACATTTTATTGTAGCCTTAAAAAGTATGCATTAATAAATTTCGTTAGAGCATTGGACAAATTTTATTTGTAACATGCTTAAGCAAAGCAAATCCTTAAAAAACAAAACAAAAAAAACCCCAGAATAATGATTTGACCTTTGCCTGAAAGTAGAAAGCAAAACCCCAACCTGAATCAACTGATAGTTATTTGTGAGTCCCAATTTTACACACAACTTTCAGACTAGAAATAATTCCCATCTTTGAGCAGTTTCTTATTAAAAAGCAATACAGAACACAAGAGACTGAAAGATATAAGTGTGCGAAAGAAAGAAAAACAAAAGAAGAATGACTGTTCTCCATAATTTGATACAGAGGGCACTAAATGAGCAGTGAAAAAAAAACCAGGCTCAAGGAATAAGTGTCTTGATTACTAAGGCATCACATTAAAACATGGCCAGAGTTTAGTACAAGGTAACAGATGCTAGCATTGTAACCATGGCAATCAGGTACTACAGCATTCATTCTACATATAGAAACTTAATACACATAAACTCCATTAGGTCTAATTTTCAGTTGAGAACCTGAATGTAGGTCTTAACCTTGTACTATTCCTGTCTTGCTTTTCGAAGCACCAAAGTTCATGTGAAATGGGGACTTAAATTTACCCATTCTACCTCAGAGCCTTAAGGATCTCTGGTAGCATAATAAGTTACAAGTTGGGCTACAAACCACAAGGTCAGAAGTTCGAATCTACCAGCCACACTGTAGGAGAAAGATAAGGCTTTCTGTTCCCATAAAGATTTATAGCCTCAAAACCCCATTCAAGGTCCCTATGAGTCAGAACTGACACTACCACCTCAGTGCTTTAGTAGGAAAATACAAATTCTATAATTTATAAAACTAAATATTTGAGAGAAGGTGTCATAAAAATATGTGGATACAAAAATACCTACGCTACTAATTTAAATAAATCATACACATGTGGGGTATTTTGGTATGGAATATTTTCCAGAGATTAAAGTCTTGCTGAGAGGCCTTAGGAGAAAACATTGTGTACTGGGGAGGGGTGGGGGTAAACTATGATGAACTGAAAATGGAAAAAGAAATTTTCAGGCATCTGGACTTTGATTCACTGGGCTAGTGCCAAAAGGCCTATGCTTTGGCTAGGATTGCTGAAATCATCTCAACGTCTTTGTATTTCATGGTTATTTATACTTTAGCTCCTTTTGCAGCATGGCCACATATATTCATGAGCTACTTTTTCTGTTTTTATTTTCTTTTTGCCATTATTTTATGATACTTGACAAATTTTGAAGAAATTATATGGTGCCACAGGATAAGCACTTGATCTCAAGGTTGCTTTGAACCTCAAAGTCAATGGTTCAAACCCACCAGCTGCTCCTTGGAAACCCTATCCAGAGTAGCTATGAATCGAAAGAGACTCAACGGCACTTAACAAAAAACAAATATTGAATTCATAGCAATGGAAATTAAAGGCATATTTTTAGTCAATTAAACCCTAAATACAAAAACTACTTGTGGTAGTAAAACCTTTCTCAGAAAACACATTCTTGTAAAACACGACAGGTCTAAGAGTATGGGCTCACAGGTGGAGACCTGGTGGCCCAGCAGTGTGGCAAGACCTGAGACTCTTGGGCCCAGAGTCAGTGACATAGCCACAGAGGACTAGAGTAGAGAGTGAAGTGTCCAGCTGATAAGAAGAGAGGGCATATGCACAAGAACACCTACACTTGCAGATAATACCCACTTGACCTGGCTTCAATGGCTGGATGATCAGAATTCAACTAGAAGAAGAAAGAAGAGGAAAAAAAGAATAATCTGATACAATTTGATGAACTTGACCCTACACCTATGGATGCAGTAGTGCAAAAGAGGGAACAAATCTTTACAACAAAGATCATTCCCACCCCCTCGATATACAGGGTAGACAGGGATGGGCCACTTGGACATTGGCTACCCAAAATGGGGGGCTACAAAGACAGGAAGTGACTTGCTTACAAGCTTTCAAGAGGGAGCCTAGATCCAGAGGGCGTGGAGGAAGGTAGAATCTCTGCTGAGTAGTATCCAATCTGTGTGGGTGGGGCTGATAAAAATGAGATGGGGATGGCTCTTATGTGGCACAATAGTGAATAATTGTTATTAGGACTGACTGTGAGGGTTGGAAATGTAAAGGTAGACATTTGTAGCAAAACGAGGGGAGTAGTTGACTTTGCATTCCAGGAGCAGAGGTCCCTGGGACCCATCACAGGAGAAGAGCGGAATGCGGAACCCTATTCAGAGAAGCAGTAACACCAGAGATGGAGGCAGAGATGATGATGTGGAGAGATGGAGTGGCTGGGGACTCTAGACCCAGAGAGGGAGAGGGGCTGTGTGCTGACGACCAAGAGGTATACCATTTGGTTGGTTGATAATGTATGGAGGGGATTGTAATCATGGCAATGAAACGATATACGATAGGATGAATGTAAAGCTAATGTTCTCCCATGTAAACTATCACATAATTCACAATAAAACATAAAAAAAAAAAAAAGAGTATGGGCTCAGAAAAAATATTGATCATACTTATGAAATAAGCATAGGGATGTTATTAAATTTTTCCAAAGAACAAAAAAATTCCTTGAAATAGAAGATATTGCATAAATTAAAATTTAATTACAATGCTTAGGAGATAAGCTTGAAAATTTACAAACATTAAAACAAAAAGCCGGAGAGAAAAGAAAACTGGATGATTATCTAGGGAATACAATACCCACTTCAAAGAAATTCTGGAAGAGACATACAGGGGAAAAGGAGTGTAGAAAACTATCCTAGAAAACTTTCAGATTGAAAAGGGCCTACTCTGTGCCCAGCAAAATGAAAAAAATAAAATAGAAAACGCTTATTATAGCACATGATTTTCAAAATTTCAGAGTAATGAGGATCCTAAAAGCTTCTGAGAAGAAAATAAGAGGTCCCATTCAAAGGTTCTAGAATCAGACAGTTGGCTTCATCAATAATACTGTTGTTGTTGCTAATAAGTGCCTTTGTGTTGGTTCTGACTTACAGCTACCCTGTATAGGGTTTCTGAGAAGCAGCTGGTGGGTTTGAACTGCCAGTCTTGTCACTTAAACTGACCTTGTTCAGTACATTATCCTGCAGTGCTACAGTGCCTTCAAAATTCTGAGAAATTACTTTTATCACAAAATTTCATGTCTAGCAAATCAATTGCTTTAGTATCAGAGTAGAACAAGGATGTTTTCAGACATGCCATGGCTCAGACTCATCAGTGGTATCATTTAATAACCGATCCTCAAGATATATGTCTCAAAAAAATGACATAAAATGAGGGTATAAACAAAGAAGGAAGAACTATCAGATGCAGGAACCAAGGTATCTATCTAATACATGGGAGGGGCAAATGATGAAGGTGAGGAGATACAATATTTCATAATTTTGAAAACCTACTAGACACGTGGATTTAATTTAGTAGCAGAAATTATTGAAAATCCTCTAGGAAACAGATTTTAGGAATAGAGGGACAGCTTTCATAGTAGTATTTGATATTGAAAACCATGCATATTTATTTATGATTAAAAATTAATTTAAAAAACCTTTCATAAGACATATCAAAATGAATATCTGAATGGAGAACAATCTAGGTAAAAACCACATCCAGCCTCTGGACCCCATAGAGGACAAGCCAGGTAATTAACACTCCTTGTAGAAAGCCATGCCTGAGTCTGACTGGGTAGGTCATGTATTCCAGTCAGGAAGCTTGGAATCACAGCTGCACTCAATATTTAATATGTGACTGCAATAACCATGTGGGAGCCATGTCTGACTTCCCCTGGCTTAGCAAAGGGGAA